GCCGGACACGGTTCTGAGCATTTTGTATACATTATCTCACTGTATGAAGGAGGCTCTATTAATGTCTTCAGTTTACAGACAAGAAGCCAGTGTCCCCAATCTGGATGCTGGCCCATGTTTATAACTCCTGGGAGCTGGGCCCTAGTACAGCCCACTGGACTCTAGTACCCGTATCCATCCTCACTGACCCTGGCAGCCTCTCTTGATCCTGGCACATGCCTTAGATCTTAATTTTGTCTTCTGGACAGAAATGCCACCCATGACACTCAGTGCAGCTGTTGGTCTGTCAGGGCTCCCAGGTTCCCAAGTGGCTCCTTTGCAGGCCGTTGGAATAAGCCTCGTTATCTTCCTGTGCACAATCCCCAGACCTGCCCTAAGCATGGAGCCAGTGGGTTACCCAGGCCTCCCCCACTCCTGGGTCCCGGCTCCTGGGGTGGTGGGGGGGGGGCAGCAGGACCATTTCCTTGGCCTTCTACAACTGTTTCCCTGCCCTCCCCTTCTGAGCCTTTTCACCACGCTTCCCCTCACCCCTGTACTCTCTTTTGATCTTGCAAATCCAGGCCCGTGGAGAAATCAGACAGTATGAAATATGAAAACTGCTTGGGAAGTAATTGAAGAAACACTGCGACTTTTGAAACCCGTAGAGATAACACACCTTCTTGCTCACGTTATTTAATTTTTAATGGCAGATTTAATTAATGGAAATCAGGTTTCTGGTTTCAGATGTGCATACGAAGCAGCTGGAGGAGAAGGAGGGGGTGACCGTTTATTGGGCAGAGGAAAAGAATCCAAAATCAGGAATCAGAAGAGTCTGATGGGAAAGAAAAATTCCCCAGAAACAATAGTTCACTCCTATCAGTGGGTGTTAATTAATGTGTGTAGATTCAGTACAGTGCATTTCAGAATGATTTCCTGTGACTTATGAATGGGTAACAGGGCTTCTTTTCAAGTGCAGACGTCGTGGGACTGTGCGGTGGGAACCCAGGCACTCTCCTGGTACTGCAGTTCACCATCCACACAGCTGCCAGAATGTTCTTTTTGAAATACAAATCAACCCTGCCACTCCCTTGCTTAAAAAATAAAACCTTTGGCCCTGACCGCCATGGCTCAGTGGTTAGAGCATTGGCCTGCACACAGGAGGGTCACAAGTTCGATTCCTAGTCAAGGGCATGTACCTGGGTTCAGGCCGATCCCCACCTCCAGTCTGGGTGCACATGGAAGGCAACCCTTTGATATGTCTCTCTCACATCGATGATTCTCTTTCCTCCTCCCCTCTTCCTTCCGCTCTCTCTAAAATCAATGGAAAAAAATATCCTCATTTCTCAAGAAAGGATTAAAAAGAAGAAAACCTTTGTTTCCCACTCATTGGGCTGGGGTCCATCTGGGCTCTGAGCCAGCTGAGACTGACCTCCCGGCACTGGCACTCCCTAACCCCTGCTGAGTCCTAGGTGACTTTCTCTCCAGGTCCAGGCTGTGGAGAGGTTTATTGGTCACCGAATACCTACCCTCTGTCCTTTCTGCTTTTGCCTTTTTAAACCATGTATTGTTCTTTCAAAAACATTATTTAATATTTAAAAAAGATTAGGCTTTGAGCAGCTCCTTAGAAGCCAGGCTAATGGTATGGCCCAGGCACCTTTCTGGTGCCGCCGTGTCATCTGGGGTGACTGGCCGAACGTCAGTTGTGTTTGTGATGTGGCATTCTCTGGGAGCCAGGGAGGCCCGGGAGCAGGCACCCTGGTCTCAGTACTCAGTGGGTTCCCATATGAATGCCTGTGGCCAGCCCTTCTAGAAGGCCCTTGGTGGTGGTGTGGTCCAGGAGTCTGCAGAGCACCCAGCTATTCCCAGCAGAGGGATCTGGGTGCTCTTCGGAAGCCTCAGGAAGGCCTGCTGGACACAGGCTGTGAGCACAGGAAGCCAGCTCAGCACTCCCAGAGTCCGACCAGGGCCTTGGTGTGTACCAGGGAACAGCAGTGGGCACCCAACAATGCCCGGTGGGTCTGGGTCTACACAGGCAGATTAGAAGTCAGGGTGCGTGGGTGGGTCAGGTCAGGAAGGGGACTTCCTCTGAGTCATTCTGAGGGACAATAGAGGAAGCTGCCATCGGGTAATCTCAACCACTTCTTGGCCTGTGGGCACTTCCTGTGACAAATCTTACTGACCACATGCTCAGTCTGAGCTTGTGGTTGACTTAACCACTTATCGGTTCACCCTTGCTGTCTGTGTGCCTGGAGATGCAATGAGCTTTCTGTCAACCAACAGCACTCTGGGCCCATCTGGGATGGGGATACTCTCTTATAAAGGGACATTGACGAGTGGTGGGGCCGGGAAGATGGGGACCAAAGAGGAGAAGGTATGGGCTGTGAGGCTATCTTGTGGGAAAGGAAGCAGACCCAGATGGGACGGGTGCTTAGGTAAGGCATAGGTTAGCATTAGAAAGTTCTGTGGTGTAATGGTAGCGGCTACCATGGACAGGGAGGGTATCGTGAGCCAGGAACCACCAGCCATGGTCTCAGCCAGCCTGTGAGGGAGGGAACAAGGAAACAAGGCCCCAGGAAGTAAGTGACCCAAAGGTCACTGCAGCATGTGCCTGAGTGGAAGCTAAATGTGGGTCTCTGGACCATGCAGCCTTTTGTGAGGGCTCATGAATTGGACTACAAACTGAGTCTCAGCAGTCCCCACCAGGGTGTCACGAAGAGTGAGGGGAGGCCCTGATCTCACTTGTCTCGTCCTTACTCCTCTGCTCAGAATAGTCAGTGTTGGGTGAATGTCAGTCTGGCTGAGGAAGAATCATGATCTCTTGGCTGGAGCATGCAGCTCCAGAGAGAAATGTGCTGGGCGACTTGGAATGAGCACCTACCAGCAGGAGCCAGGGCAGCCTGGTCAGGAGGGAAGGGGAACCCCTATATATTTTGTACCTGTTGTGTGGTGGGAGCTTTCTCACGTCCCAGTCGTGTGCCTGATGGCCATCTCCCCAGTTCAGAGATGAGGACAGGAGCCAGGTAGAGGCAGCATGACCTGCCCAGGCTCACTCAGTGGCTGGGGGAAGAAGGCCTGGCATTGGCCTTACCCCAGCACCACCCAGAGCTGAGTTTCTACACTGCTCTGTCCCAGTGTGCTCCCTCCAGCACAACTTTCCATGCTGATCTCCCACATGACTCTTCCCTGAGGCTGCCGCACAAGGGTGGGAGTCCAGACTCTACCTTGGTGTTCTGTAGGTCCTAGGGGAGGTACTTCCTGCCCCACCTTGGTTACCTTCCCTGCAGATGAGTGATGGGACAAGGCACTTTCTCTGCCTGGCACCTATTTCAGTCTGTCTAAGGAAGGGGTCATTCCCCTCAGGCCAGGCTATCTGTGTGCGTGGCATCTGCTGCTATCTTATCACCCTCCCTGGGAAGGTCTGAGTGCCGGTCTTGTCTTGGGCTATGATCTGGGTGATTTAATTCTTAAGGCTGTTCCTGCAAGAAGTCAGTCCTCACAGCTCTCTGCATGGGCAGGTGGGCTAGCTGTGTGTTTCTTTTGGTCTCCTCGGGGAAACAAGTGCAAAGTGCTGGATTCTGGACCTGTGTGGCCAGAAGCAACTTGCCCCTGAGACAAAGGAAGTAGTGACTTACCCAGAGTCACAGTGAGGTGGCCCCTGGGATTTAATCCACCCTACTTTGTTGCAAACCTGGCTGTCTCCACACCAGCCTGTCTCTGTAAATGTACACCCCGAGGCATCCTCAGAAGGGATATAAGTGTGTGCCTTCGGAACCACCCTGCAAGGCTCTGTCCAGTCACCATGCCTAGAAGCACCTTGGTGTTGGCAGGCAGCAGGACTCATGCCTGACTCAGGATCAGCCTCCTGGGCTGTAGCTCTGGCACAGCCACTTGCTGTGTGACTTTGGGCTAGTGGCTTCATCTATCTGGGCAGCAGAGCCTACCTATAAAATAAGGCTTTGACCAGATTCAGACTCTGCAAACTTTTTATTTAAAGACTAAAGGCCCGGTGCATGAAAATTCATGCACTGGAATGAGGGTCCCTCAGCCCGGCCTGCCCCCTCCCACAGTCCGGGAGCCCTCAGGGATGGGAGGCAACTGGGCAATCAGGGGAAGGCGACGCCCCATCACACCTCTGCTGCTGTCACTGCCTTTCCTGACAGTTACCTTAGCCCTGGTTACCTGAGCCTCGGGCGGCCCTGGGCGGCTGGGCAGCTGCCATCCGAGGCTTACTTGTGCCTCAGGGAAGCTGGGGAGCTGAGGGGACTGGAGTACTCTGGAGGCAGGAGCGCGGAGTGCCTGCCACTCTGGTGGGGCTTGAGGGGACTGCGTGCCGCCATCTTGTGGCTGTGGGCACCACCATCTTTGAGGGCGTGCTAGTCAATTAGCATATTTCCTCCTTATTGGCTTCAGGAGATGCTATCTTTGCAACAGTATAAGGATCAATTAGCATATTCCCTCTTTATTAGATAGTATGGTAAACATTTTAGGCTCTTTGGGCCATGCAGTCTCTGTCACAACAACTTAAGTTGGGCCATTGCAGCACAAAGTAGCCACAGAAGTGAAAACAAATTCAGATTGTGGCATATTTCAATAAAACTTTATTTATAAAACAAGGGGGCAGGTTGGGATTTGCTCGTGTGTTGCTGACCCCCAAACTGGAAGATCCATGTCCTTCCATTCTTTGCTCAGCTAGGATTCTGTAGCTCTGGTTGGTCCAGGGTAGGAACTAGCCCTAAGCTGTGGATCACTAGTCTGCTTTGATGCTGGTCAAGATATTAGTGTCTGTCAATTTTTATTTATTTATTTATTTATTTTCAGAGAGAGAGAGAGAGAAAGAGAGAGAGAGAAACATTTATCCGTTGCCTCCCATACACACCCTGCCCTGGGATGAAATCCATTACCTTTTGGTCACCTGGCCAGGGCTAGCTAGCATCTGTCACTTTTTAATGCAGTTGCATCATGTGACAGGGACAGAGGGAAATTGCAGTCTTTGGTAACCTGTTCTATTTTTCTCTTTGTAGAATGCTGAGATGTATAAACTATCTTCACAGCAATTTCATGAGGCAGCTTCGAAAATGGAGAGCATGATAAAGTAAGAATTTGTTTATTATTCTTCGTAAATTTAGCCTGTATTTGTAAAAATTCCCATACATGGCTTGAAACCTGCCACCACCTGCCTAATTTCAAATTTCTGTAATAATACAGAGGACCATCTGTTTCTCAGTTCTCTCACCTGGATCTGAGGCAGCTATTGGTCACCTGTAATTGACCACAGGAGCACTCCCTTCTCCCCTAGCAACCTGGCAAATGGAGGGGGGCTGCGGCAGGCTTGGCAGGACTATTCCAGGCCAGGTGTCCATTGGGCCCCCAGAGAAGTCAGGGAAGAGGTGCTGCTGGTCCCCCATTTGTGGAGCTGGTTTTCAGGGGATGGGTCTGTTTCCTATGGGCACCCATGTGTCTGGCCCTGTGCCTTAAGCTCGTGTATGCTGATATCGAGGTGGTCCTTGCTTTACTCCAGAAGGACTAGCTCAGGGACACTGATGGCTCACTCGGATCACACAGTGCCCAGGGCAGCATTCGGTCCTGGTCTGTCTTGCTCCTGTGCTGTCAGAGGGAGGCCCCAGAGCCAGAATGTCAGGATTGACATATATAGACGCAGTTCTGCTTAGTTTAGGGGACAGGTCAGGGAAAGTCTCAGACCATGGTTGGCAAACTGCGGCTAGCAAGCCACATGCGGCTCTTTGGCCCCTTGAGTGTGGCTCTTCCACAAAAGTCTATTTTGAAGAAGTGGTGTTAGAAGAAGTTTAAGTTTAAAAAATTTGGCTCTCAAAAGAAATTTCAACTGTTGTACTGTTGATATTTGGCTCTGTTGACTAATGAGTTTGCCAACCACTGGTCTGAGGGATTCCTGTGGGGAAGGGAGAGCCGGGCATTACGCTCTGGGTTATTTTTTGAAGTTGATCTCTGTGGGCCCTGTAGACCTTCATAAGGTACCCAGGGGCTCCTACCAACTCGCTCCTCCTTCCTTGTAGGTCTTTATCCTTCAAGGGTGAGTCGGGTTGACTCCCAGGCAAACCAGTCAGAGTGCAGAGTGGTGAGGGATTGGGTCTGGCACCAAGAGAAGGAAACAGAAGGTCTAGGTACCAGGAGATGACACATTTCTTATGAACACGGCTGCTAATGAAAACCGTGTGGAGACAGGAGGGATCGGGAGGGTAGAGGAGATGCACATGTAGTATTCACCTGAAGCTGGGGAAATATCACCAGATTGGGGTACAACTGACTAAAGAGTAGGTTTGGGCAAGAGAAACCGTGATCTTGAAGAGTTCGAGTCCTGCAGTAGTAATAGAGACTAGGAAAAAGACCTTTCCAGGCAGCAGGTAATATCCCGAAAGGTCCTGCGCAGGTCCATTGGGATCTCACTGGGCCTGGGGTGTGGGTGGGTGAGTGCTATGAGCTGTATGGACCCTGCGGAATGGAATGTTCCAGCTGTCCTTGCAGAGTGTGTGGACCACCCCATGTGCAGAAGTCCTCACACCCCTGGGGTTGATTAGTGCTCATTATCACAATCAGTGAGAGAAGGAGGTTGGAAAGCACCTCAGAAGTGGGTGGGTGACAGCCACCCTAGTAATGTGATCCTGGGAAGGGCAAAATCGGAGTTGTTTCCTGGCCCTGGCCCACCCCCTGGAATGTTTGGGGCAATTATACTGGGTCCAGAGCACCTTCCCTCTTCACTGGATCGTGGAACCAACTGCTGAAGGGAAGCAGCTCTGGGGAGAAGCTAGGCAGCTTTACAGTCATAGACACGCATTTTTGTCACCTGCTATGTGGCCCATCGTCCTGGGAGTTGGGACTCATGGACTCCTGGTCTCTGGCTTAGTGAATTTGATAGTATCATCATATTCTTTCTCATCATATCCTTTAAAGGCAAAGGGGAACTGACATATGAGTATATTTTTAATCTGAGCGAAGCGAAGAGTAGTTTGTTTGCAGTATCCCTTGAGAATGACTTACTAAGCACGTTACTAAATGATAGGTGCTTTACAGGCACTTCAACTATATGCTTTTACTTACTATTATTGGTTGCATTTCACAGATGGAGAACTGAAGCTAGAGAGGTTGTCCATAGTCACACATGGTTCTCTGCTGGGCTGGGGTCAGGCTTAGCTGAGACTGCTTTGTAGTCACCATTCTTCACTGTTGACCTTGGCTTCTTTCATGTCCCTTGAAAGTTCCCTCTGACCATAAGATAGGCAGCCCGTTGGAGCTATGAGTCTGCCTGGACCTGGAGTCACACCTCAGTCTTGTTTCTGATTGGCTCTGTGCCCTTGGGCAAGTCACTTAACCTCTCTGGTTTCCACTTTTTCAAAACAAAGAGGAGCAATCCCTTTAAAGCTTTTAGTGAGATACCATAGAGAAAGTAGACCTATGATGTCAACAATCATTGGTATAGTTTGACTTATGCCCAAACCTGTAGAGAATTTTTATGAGTTTGAGTCAAACTGATAACTGTTGGGAAGCAAGCTACCTACGAATTGAGAAAATGATCCTGAGAATGACAGTGTTGCAGCATTTATACCTTAGAACCTTAGGAAGAGATGTCAGGAGCACTAACAGGAACCCATGGCTGGTGGATGAAAGGGGTGGGAGGAAGCAAACCCGGGAAATCTCGGGGCTGGATAAAAAAGTAAAACAGGAGACACTTCTTTTACATTGGCGGGTACAGAATAGTTAATAATTAACATTTCAGCACACAGAGATGGTATGTGGGAACCAGATAACAATGAGGGTTTGTGTGTTCTCCTGCTCTGGTGCAGGGGGTTTTGCCTTGATGGGTCTGGAAAAGGAGATTCCTCTGACATTCCAAAGGTATGTTATCTGAGACTACAAAAAAGATAATAGACAGGCTCACTTAAGATAAAGATTGACCTTTGTCAAGGAAGCTGTAGACCTAAGACAACTACTACCCGTAGTATCTGCCTGGACCTGCTTTTACTTAGGAATTTTCACACCATCCTTCTGGTCTCTCAGTTTATCGGGTTTAATATGTGACCCTTTTTTCGTCCACAGACTGTTAAAAATGGCAGTCATTTGAATCATTTTTACAACACCTAGCTTGACATAGCATGGAACAGATGTAATAGAGTTTACTAAAGAAGAAAATTTTGTCTTTTCTCAAATAAATTAAACAGTAAGTAATGTAGATTTAAAATTATTGTATTTAAACATAAGGTGGGGACAGAATCTTTGATTGAGAGATTTCTTGGGTTGGCAAACGATTGTAAATCACATTGTAAATGCCACAGGAGTAAGTGCCAACTGCTGACGGCAATACTACTGGAGAATTTTCTTCTTTTAACAACTTTGAATAAACTGAATGGTTACTTAGATGGTTAATTAATGTTTCACACACTTTTTGTGTGTGTGTTTTTGTACTGTTTTGTTTTGTTTTGTTTTTGTGTGTTAATCCTTACCTGAGGATATTTATCCATTGATTTTTAGAGAGAATAGAAGGGAGAAGGAGAGACAGAGAAACATCTATGTGAGAGAGACACACTGATTGGTTGCCTTTTGCACACATCCTGACCAGGGCTGGGGAACCTGCAACCAGGGTATATGCTCTTGATTGGAATTGAACCTGGGACCCTTCAGTCAGCCCTCAGGTTGATGCTCTATCCACTGAGCCAAACTGGGGCTCACCCGCTTTTTAAACACACGTGTATAGGCTCTTTGCCAGACACCATGCTAAGTGCTGGAGATAAACAAGATAGCTTCGGTTGCTACCAGCAAGGAGCTTAGAGCATTTGGAGAATGAAAAACAATATTTTTAAATTAATAGCACAAAAAGCAGTTGCCCAAACAATAACTGATTACAGTAATGAGTCGTGAAAGAAAGACTGCGTTTGAATTTAAAAGCCCAGGTTGGAATCCCTAAACCCAGATTTGGAAGTTGGTAAGGCTTCTAAGGAAATGGAATGTCAGCTGACTCCTATAAAATGAGAAGTTGGCCAGAGGAAGGAAGGAGTAAGAACATTTCAAAAAGAAGGATTACCTGTGCAAAGGCCCCAGGGCAGGAAGTAATTTAGCACATGCAAGGAATTGAAAGGCCAGTGTTTGCAAAGAAATGAATGAAAGAAGAGAGAGAGAGAGAGAGAGAGAGAGAGAGAGAGAGAGAGAGAGAGAGAGAGAGAGAGAGAGAGAGAGAGAAGGATGAAGCTGGGGAAAGTCAGCAGATGCCAGCCCGGACAGATTTTCGCTTGTATTCGAGGAATAGTGAAATACCATTTTAGCTTTCTTTCTTTCCTAATATATGTGCTTACGGAATTAATTTATCTGAACATAGCTTTAGCTCTACCCTGCAAGTTTGGATATATTGTATTTTCATTATAATTAAATTCAAATTTTTTTCTAATTCTTATGATTTCTACTGGTCTCGTGGCTTATTTTAAAACCCATTGCTTAATTTCCAAGCAGATGATAATTTTTTAGTTACCTTTTTATAATTGATTTCTAGTTTAATTTTGTGATTAGAGATACTCTAAATCCTCTTTAAAAGTTTGAAATTTGGTGTATGACCCAGTTTTGGTAAGCCTTCCATGTACCCTTGAAAAGAATGTATAGTCTACTCATGGGTATAGTTTTCTCTTTGTCAGTTAGGTTCAGGTGGTTGTTCGTATTCAAATTTTCTGATTGATGGATTTATGGTTTCTTTCCAAGATCACTTTCCTTCTGACTGAAGAACTCATTTAGTATTTAGTTTAGTACAGCTTTGCTGTGATGGAAGTGGGGTTCTTGCTCTGTTGCGAGAAAAAGCATTTTCGAGGACCCATTAAGGAGAATGAGGTCTGATGTTAAGATTTCTTTTAAAATTGATTTCAGAGGAAGAGAGAGGGAGAGAGAGATAGAAACATCAATGATGAGAGAGAATCATTGATCGGTTGCCTCCTGTACACCCCATTCTGGAGATAAAGAAAGTGATAAAGAATTATAAATTTATTATATCATCTGCAAACCAGATAGGCTGCCCAAAATGGTGTAACCCAGGGACAAGGAGTTAAAGATTTTAAAGGACTCCAGGTGGGCTTTTTCAGC